GTATTAAAATTTTTATGGTCTAATTTTCTTGTTGCTTGGTACAAATAGTTACTATAAAATTTAAATCATTTATACTTTGAGCAAGCTCAGAAATCAATTTTGTAGAAGCCTCTTGAACTGAGTTAGTAGTTGCATATTTTTTCCAGCCTGACAAATCTTTAGAGTGTTTTGTGATCGTAAATTCAGAATTGAAGTAAGATTTAATATTATTCTTTGTGGTATTGACTCTATTCAATAGTGGTGCATTATTTTTTTATTGTACTTAGCATTTACATAAATTTTTATTATTTCAAATACATCTTCAAAACAGCATTAGTTAAAAGATAAAAGGCTAATTTTCTCGCTATATTTAAACTAACTTTTAAGGTGTCAAAATTTGTATCTAAAGTGGATCATCAAAAATCATTTCCAAAGCCTCTTTCATTATTTCAATTGTTTTTTAAATTCTAAAAATTGGTTTGGAGCTAATAAAATACACATATGAATTTTACTAGTTTAATGAGAAATTCGAAATAGTAGTATTTTTTCAACTTTTTATAAAACTTAAAACTTAGGTATTTAACTCACAGAAACTGATATCATAATAAAAACATACTCTGTATGAGGTATGTTTATCATTGTGTGGACATGCTTTTTTTCATAACTAAATTAATTAATAAACTAGGATAATTAGTAGAGTTTTTAACTTGTTTGAATAAACTTAACTATGGTAATATATTTTGTATAATATTACAAGTACACAAAGTGAATCTAATTAAGAAACAATAGACATTGCAGTGTATTTTAATTAATACTCAAGGTTGAGTTAAAATAGAAATAAAATTAAGATAACAATTATGCACAAAATTTTAGTATTGAACTTATTAACATTAATAATTTCTAAATTTAAATGTCTTGTAATTTAAATATTAATTAGGAAGTTGATGTCAAATAGAATATCGAGAACTAATATAAAACTGTTTCAATTCAAATATAAAACTAAATAATATCAGCTCTAAAAACAGTAATTATATCAATAAATTGACATGTTAAATAAGAAAATTTTGATACTTGCCTCCACACCATCTTTATTGAGCACCTTTTAAGTTTGAATTTACTATGTTTTTTTAAACCTGTGATAAAGAACGTGTTAGCATGTATTTTTTACAATTTTGGTGTGATACATAAGAAAATGACTTTCAAAACGGTTAAAAAATTTTGTTTAGAATATAATGTTACAAAAGAATTCTCATTGAGATAAACACTTAATACAATATTTTTTTCATCTTAGTAACTATAGTTTTATAATTTTTGTAGTTGTCATGAAAGGAAAGATGTCATCTTGTTCTACACAGTTTAGAAATATATATAATTCAGGTATTTATACAATTTTAACAGGATTTTGCAATATAGAAATCAACCAAAGTTTTATTGCATTTTTTTTTTTTTTTTTTTACAAAAAGCTGTTAGCCAAAACTTTTTACAAGTGGTAAAACCTTCCTAACACCATATTTTAGATATTTGCTTTTGAACTTGACACAATATACTGGCACACCTCTTTCAGATTGCAAAATCAATAACTATAGACTCTTTGTTCATGGTATCCCAACTTCACTTCCAATTCAAATTTGGAGATATACTATTTTATGTTCTGCATCTAACTTTTTCAGTTTTCCTAA